CGACAACCACCTCCAGCCGACCGCGTCTTAGGATTTACATATTGATCCATATCTCGCTTCAAAATTGAGCTAGAATCTTGATTTTTGTTGGACAATAACTAAAATTTCCTGAACTTTCAGTTTTAAAGCAAAAAGGTGATCGAAAAATTTCCAGGTACCTCTCCAAGCGTGGGAAATCTACAACCCTGGACGTTTTGTGTGGTCTCAAGTGACTCAATTAAAACAATGATCCGGAAAATTCTAGAAGCCGATGAACGAGACAATTATGTGTCGAGAAAGTTTGTTGAGCATTTTTGAGACGTTTAATTTAGTGGATTTTTTCAGAAAAGGCGCATCTTGGGTTGTCGACGTTTCTCAGCTACAGGACACCTGGCGGAGGCCCTATATCACAGATGCACCGTATTTGTTAATCGTTTGTCATGAGGTTAGGATAATTATAATCAAAATAAAATATAAACAATTTCCTTTATTTTGGTTTAAAAATCATGAGAATGGGTTGAAAGAAATTTGAGTTACAAGCGTTTGAAGTTTTGAAGGTTATATTGGAGAGCTATGTAGTTTCTATCGTTTATATCTCAAAAACTACAAAAGCTATTAAGAAACAACTAACTATCAAAATGAATTACAGAAAATTTTCTATATTTTTTTACAAAAATTATGAAAATTGGCTCAGCCGTTTTTGAGTTACAAGCGTTTGAAGTTCGCAGACAGCTAGTCACTCTCAGCGTCTGCGTCTCTCTGAAATTCGAACGCTTATAACTCGAGAACCACCTGACCAACACACACGATATTTGTATGCAGATAAAGAACATTTTCTACCAATTCTTTTGATACTACATTCAAATAAAGTTATTTAGCATTTCTAAACTCGTACCCCTTTGAAGAGACAAACACAACATATATTTTGCACATTTCCAGATCTTCCGCGACGTCCACAACAAAACGGAACGGGTCTTCCATTATAATCAAATCAGCACATCAATAGCTGTCGGAATTTTATTGGCGGCAATTCAAAATGTTGGTTTGAGTACGGTAGTGACGTCACCACTCAACGCAGGTCCCGACATTTCCCGAATATTGAGGAGGCCCGAAAATGAAAGTGTGAGTTATAGCGTTAATTTTTATACCATTGGAAAGAACGTAAAATTTTACATAAGATTGTGTTGATTGCAAATTTCATTTTCTACCGTACCCCACGCCATTGGTTTTGAAGGCTGCGAGCGAGTAACGCGCGCCTAGGAAGAAGTGCTCCCAGAAAAATCGTTCTAACTTGGTTAGATTTAAAGCTACACCGTCGGTTTTTGATACCATTCGGAAGAACGTAAAATTTTACATAGGACTGCAGTTTTTACAAACTTTACTTACTTTACCGTACCCCACGTCATCGGTTCTTCAGACACCTGAATTCGCGACAGCATCTTCAAAACTCAAAACCTTGATAAAACCAAAACTAACAATTCAATTTAGATGGGTTTTGTAACAAAATACAGGAAATTTCATGTATATGATTTTGTCAATTTAAAAATGTCAGATATTCAAACTAGGCTGGGACATATGACGAAAATAAGTGAAATTGGTTTTCCACCTTGATCTTTTTAGGAACTTAAAAAACAAACTTTACCGTACCCCACGTCATCGGTCGGCAAAGCTGCAACCGCGTAGCTCATCGGCGCTCCCCAGAAAAGTGTCTACAACTTGCTTAGTTTTGAAGATACACTGTTGATTCTTATACCAATCAAAAGAACGCAAAATTTTACATAAGACTTTAGTATTTACAAATTTCAATTTCTATCGTACCTTCACGTCATAGGTGGGCGAGGTTGCAACTTAGAAAAGTCGTAGTAACTTGCTCAGATTTAAAGCTATAGCGTTGTTTATTGTTTCATTCGAAAGAACATAATATTTTACATAAGACTATAACATTTGAATTTCTACCGTACCCCACGCTATCGGTGGGCGAGTTTGCAACTGTGCATCTATAGTTGCGCGGTACAGAAATGAAGCTATAACTTTATTAGATTTAACGCTACATTGTTGATATCAATACCAATCGAAAGCCCATAAAATTTTACACCGTTTGATACAAATTCAAAGTTTTCAGATCCTTCTACTCTTGCCACTTGGCTACGCATCAGAAGACGTTCTAGTTCCAGATCTCAAAAGAAAACCGGTCGAGCATATCACAAAATTATATTGAATTCTTTTTGCTTTCCAATTTTGCCTGTTTCACTTTTTTGTTTCGTTGCTTTCATTAAATTTTTTTGGTTTGAATTGTTGAAAAGTTTATTTGGGGATGGGAGGGAAATCATTTTGTACAAAAACCCGGATCAATTTGATGATTTCGGCAGGGGGCTGAATTTTTAAAAAGACTGAAAAATTGGGAAAAAATAAACTCGTAACGGGAAAAAAGTGGTAAAATTCAAGAAAAATGAATGACAGTATATAAAATGAGGAATCATGGAATCACAGAAGCACAGGGGGGAAATTTTCAGACAAAAACTCTTAAAGAAATTGCTCATCGCCCATAATCCAGCATAAAATCATCCACCATTCCATCATCCTCATGTTGCTCCGCGAGCCAGAATTGTGCATTTCGTCTGACTCTTCTCGATTGTCGTGCCACCGAAGCACATAATTGAGCTTCGTTCATGTTACACCATCCACAAGAGGCTTGACAGTTCTCAGCCATCCATTGACGACGTCGCGTGCAGAATTGTTGACCGCGCCAGTAGGCGCAGGAGACGTGACGGTCGTGACAACCTGGAAAAATGGAAAAAGGGTGAAATTTGCTACAGTATGATGTAAAATTGTCCAAAATCGGTTCACCAGTTCTCGGGTTACACCTATTTGGAATTACCGTATACCTGTTATAGAAGGATCCATGTACTGTTAAGTTCGAGTTGATTTATCTTGGTTCTTGTGATAGATATCAAAAATGTGTCAACAGATAAAATGTTAATGATATTATGATAAACATTTTATCAATTTACAACTTTTTGGTATCGTTTACAGGAACCGAGATAAACTGGCTTAAAGTGGAGGGCATTTTAAGTTCCTAAAAAGATCAAGGTGGAAAACCAATTTCACTTATTTTCGTCATATGTCCCAGCCTAGTTTGAATATCTGACATTTTTAAATTGACAAAATCATATACATGAAATTTCCTGTATTTTGTTACAAAACCCATCTAAATTGAATTGTTAGTTTTGGTTTTATCAAGGTTTTGAGTTTTGAAGATGCTGTCGCGAATTCAGGTGTCTGAAGAACACCTCTTCACGACTTTTACCCTTTTCTGAATGAATTCTTTTTCCCTTCAGTTTACATATTTTATTCACCAATACCGACGCCGCCCAACAACGATGCTATTTGAATTGCCGCCGACGGACTACTGTACCTGCTGATCTAACTCGGCCTCGCCGCGCACCAAGGAAACGCGCCTGAATTTGGGATTTATTGGACCACCCGGTTTTTTAGACCCTCCCGGATTGTTATAGTTTTTTGCTCCGCCTTGTTTCGATTTCTCCCATTATTATTTTCTAATATTCTGGTGTAATTTTCTTGTCGGCAGAATGAATCCGGCAACGGATTCATTCAGGTTATTCATTCAGGTTATCCTGTCTCAAGGGGCCGTACTAAAGCTATATGCCTGCAAAATAGATGCGGTTTTTGATCTAAATCATTTTGAATGCCTATATCACAAAAAGTAAAAAAGTTATCAAAAATGACTAACTATTAAAATAAAACACAGGAAATTTCCTACATTTTGTCACGAAAATCATAAAAATTGGCTTAGCCGTTTTTGAGTTACAAACGTTTGAAGCTAGAAGAGACACAGACAGCTAGTCACTCTTGTCTTCTGCGTCTCTCTAAACTTTAAAGGTGGGGGACATGAGAAAAATAATGTTCTAGAAATTTCGTTTAAATATGCTCCTCGAGGAGTTGAACTTGTCGAGGCGAGTGTTGAAGGTGCGGCGCCGCTACCGACTGAGCTACGCGTGCAAAGAGAAAGCCGCTGCCCGATTGCATACATAAAGGCGAGGGCGACAGCTGTACGCAGAGTGACATTAATCGTTGTACACCGTTACGGTAGAATGCATACTCTAGCTACAAAAAAACTACGAAAAATCTCCTGTCCCCCCACCTTTAAAGGCTTAATACTCAGGAACCAGTGGACCAAAATGTATGATTTTTGTATCAAGACAAAATACAAAGAATTTCTTAGATTTTGGTACAGAAATCATTGAAATCGGTTATTTGGTTCGCGAGTCACAAGTCGCTGAATTTCAAAGAGACGCAGACAACTAGATCGCACTCGTCGTCTGTGTCTCTCTGAACTTCAAAGGCTTATAACTCGGGAACCATACGACCAAATTTGATTATTTTTGTACCAAAATGTTGGAAATTTTCAGTATATCTTTGATATTTCATTCAATAAGAGTTACCTAATATTTTTAAAGATATGCTCCTTTGAAGAGGCGCAGACTTTTTTGTCTTCTAACAACTTTATCTTGCTAATTAGTGAACCAAATTTTGCGTTCTTAGAATCAAAATGTCAGGTTTTGTTTTGCTTTTATAACTACCCAAAGTTTCTTAAATTCTTACCTCGATTATTATCATTTGACTGGCATAAACCACACGACTTCCTGCAGTAGCGATTCATATAAACTGTATTCGTTCGACATTCGTTTTGTCTGGACCATTGGTTACAGCATGGGTCCTCGTTGTAGCAGTTCTGAAAAAACAGACATCTGGACACACAGACACACAAAAAGAGTCTTACAGATTGTGGAGTAGCAGCTGGTCTTGCTGGCTGTTGTTGGGGTTGAGCTTGAGGCTGTTGCACATTTGCAACGGCTGTAGTTTGAGAGGGCTAAAAATTCAATCATTGATTTTTATACCAACATGTAGGAAATTTCATGTAGATTATTTTATCAGTTGACGACTTCTTGATGCGGTTGCTGGTTTTCGAGATACAAGCGTTTGATCTACCCTACCTTCTGGAATTGTTGTCCTTCTCGACACCATCCGGCGACACACTGCCCCATGTAGCATGCATCCAAACCTTCGAATCCACGACACAAACCTCCTGGCTTCACTTTTGCGACACAGTGTGGATTGCCCCGTGTATCGCAGAACAAGTATTGAGATCCGCAGTTGGCGTTGTTTCGGTTGCATGTTGGGCGGGGTGCGTAGTGGTAGAGATTGTCGGTGTAGGCGTTGGAGAGTCCTAGAGATTTTAGAGTTAAAATGACAAGCGGAACGTGTTATACATTTTGAAATTAAGAATAAAAAAAATTGGTCAACTGGACGCTGAGTTATGGTTTTCTGAGGTTTCAGAGAGAGGCGCAGGCAATAAGAGTGCCTAGCTGTCTGCGTCTCTTTATAACTCTGTGACCAGCAGGCCACCGTTTTCATGTTTATAGTCAAAAATGACGAGCAAAACATTTTCTACATCTTAAGACAAAAATCAAGAACATTGATCAACTTGTTACCAAGTAACGGTAGTTTCAAGTTTGTGGAAGAGAGGCGCAGGCAAGAAGAGTGACTAGCTTCTCTGCGTCTCTTCATAACTCTGGTACCATAATACCGATGTTCTTGAAATTAAGCTCAAAATGATGAGAAAAAGATTTTCAACATTCTGAAACCCAGATCAAAAAAATCGGTCCACTGGGCCCAGAGTTATGCTGGTTTGAAGTTTGAGAGAGACGCAGACAACTAGACTCCTTGCGCCTCTCCTAACTTCAAACAGTCATATCTCCGGGGCCCATGAACCTAATTCTTTGATTTTAGCCTTATAATGTAGGAAATTTCCTCTCAATTATTTTCATATCAAATTTCAATGATTTAGATTCACTCGATTCTTACTAGAGCGCATTTACTCACCATCTCGGTTAATCTTATCCCATGGTCTCATTTGAGCGTAACTGAAGTGCTGTGAGTTGGCGCATGCACCGATGTCTGGTGGGTATTGCTGAAAACCGTGTTTTTAAGGATCAGATTGAAAGTACGCTCTAATGAAAACCGATCTCATTGGAGCGCATTTTCGTCGGACCAGATAAAACTCACATTTTCTCTGGCAAATCGATTCTGATGATTTTGACGCCACATTTCCCAAATAAAGTCCACAAATGTGTGATGGAGGAAAAAAATTGGGTCGTTGGCGGAGGTTGATGGTGGTTTCATGTCTCCGCCCATCCAGAGATGAATGGAGGCGTGAGTGTATTCGAGAGCTCCGAAATAGGGCCGGAATGGGCAACCTGGAAATTTCATAAAGTTGGGTTTAAATACTATTCATAGATAATTTCATGGAGATCATTTTGTAGTTCACGGTTTTTTTAATAGCTTTAAGGGTTGAGAAGATATCGACGTTTAAAGTTTTTTAGTTGCAAAAAAGTCTGCGTCTCTTCTAACGTTCCTATCTCTGGTGATTCAAACAAACTTTATATGAATGTAATATCAAATGAATCTGTAGAAAAATACCTTAATCTTAATACAAAAATCATTCAATTTGGTTCATTGGTTCCCGAGTTAGAAGCGTTTGAAGTTTAGAGAGATACAGACGAGGAGAGTGACTTGTTGTCTGCGTCTCTTCTAACTTGAAACGCTTGCAACTCAAAAACGGCACAGCCAATTTTTATGATTCTTGCACCAAAATGTAGGGAATATGCTATATTTAATTTTGGTAGTTGTTCATTTTTTGATAGTTTAAATAGTTTTTGAGATATAGAAGTATAAAATTTCCATAAGTCAAAAAGTTTACCTCTCTTCAAACGCCCATAACTCTTGAAATTAAAGTTCGCTTTGTTTTAATGAAATATCAAAATAATTTGTAGAAAATTTCCTTTGTTTTCATACGAAAATCATTCATTTCGGTCAAATGAGTCCCGAGTTATAAGCGTTTGAAGTTTAGAGAAACGCAGACGATGAGAGTGACTAGCTGTCTGCGTCTCAAACGCTTGTAACTCAAACATGGTTCGGCCAATTTTTATGGCCCTTGTGCCAAAATGAAGGAAATTTTCTGTATTTTATTTTGATTGTTACCCTTTTTTTTTTGATAGCTCCAATAGTTTTGAGATATTGCCGTACAAAATTGAATAGCTTCAAAATTGCATTTTCAGAGCTTCAGACCTTGATAAAATCAAAACTAGCAGTCCAAATTTGATAATTTTGGTGTCGAAATGTAGGGAATTTTAACCGAATTATTTTTATAGCACACTTTTGTTTTAAAGAAAAAAAGCTCACCTGTTTGTGGCGCAGTGAACGCCATCACGCTGACCAAATCATTCTGTGCCATCAAATTGTTAATATTCTGCTCAGTGAACATTTTTCCCTCCGTCGCCATTCGTCGAATAATATTCGGACGTCCTTCAAGTGTCCTAAATCCAGCAAACGGTCCGCTAACCAGTTGTCCCGATGCGTCAGTCATTCCCATGAACAATGGTCCGAACATAATCGAATCTCTTGGATCTGGCAAATATGATTCCAGCACACTGTCCCAATAAGGCATCGAAATTCCCGGATCAATCATTCTCAATGCGATTTCCATTCTTTTCATGTATTCTCGGTGCCAGACTAAGAATCCTGGACCCGAGTGTGCTCCGGAGGCGGAGCCCACTTGTCTGTGCATCACTGATAGACGATCGTACTCTCCAGAACGCTTGAGTTGCATGATGGCGTTGTGCCAGCGGACACGCTCGTTGTCGCTCATCATTCTGAAAAAGTAATTGTGAGCTTTTAATGTGAAATTTTATGCTCTATCGATTGGTATAAAAATAAAAGCTGTAGTTATAAATCTAAGCGAGGTACAACGGTTTTTCTAGGACGCACCGCTGAGCTACGCGTTTGCCGCTTTGTCGACTGATAGCGTGGAGTACGGTGAGAAGTATGTTTACTAAATTATACAGCTTCATGTATAATTTTATGCTAGTTCAATTGGTATAAAAATCAAAGTCGCAGCTATAAAACTCATCGAGTTATACTGACTTTTCTGGGACGCGCTGCTGAACTACTCGGCTCAATCTTTGCCGACCTGAAAGCGTGGGGTGCGGTGAAAAATGCATTTTGTTATTAATACTGTCTTATGTGAAATTTTGTGTTCTTTCGAATGGTATAAAAATCAATCGTGTAGCTTTAAAGCTAAGCGAGTTATGAAAACTTTTCTGGAAAGAGATGCTGGAGCTCTCCACAAGTTATGAGCCGAGACTTTGAGCTCAATTATCTCAGTTCTTCGAGAGCTATCAAAAATTTGCAAACTGATAAAATGTTTACCGTTTTATTACCAATCGTTTATCAGTCAACACTTTTGTGATATCTCTCACAAGATATGAGATACGTTAAGTCAAAGAAGAGCGCTCGAAATAGACGAAATTCGGTAGATTGCAAATAACATACCTGTATTCTTTTCTATACGACATCAAATATGGCTGCCCATTTGGAAGAATACATCCGTTTGCCATTCGACCCTAAAAATGTAAAATTTAGGATTACGGTAACCAAAATTTAAGCTTAAAGCAGTCGGAAGCATTAGAGCTTAATCTAAAAGTCCAGCTACCGCGTAGCTCCAACTTCGGTCAAATTTATTTTGGTTTTTTAAAAGATATCAAAGAATTGTTAACTAATAATATGTTTTTAATGATATCACTAACATTTTATCAGTTGGTCACTTTTTGATATCTCATACAGAAACCCAGATAAATTGACTCAAAATGTGCAGCTCAAAAAAATTGAGCGGAGCGCTGTAGGCGCGCCAGAGAGCTGTTGACGCGGCAACCAAACAGGTATGTCAGTACCCGTCAGTACCCTAAATATTCATAAATAAAGAAAAATATCACTCACCCCCATATACGGACAAATGCACGCAATATTCATGCATCCCTGTGCAGATGGAGCAAATCGTGGCGGGTTGGCTGGCGAGAATCCTCCTTGAACTCCTGGAGCACCTGCTTGGAACGCTTGACGCTTTCTGATCGCTTTTCTGGCGGCACTATCCCATTCTTGTAGCATATGACATGTTTGTTTCATGTCTGAAAATTCCTTTTTTTGTGGGATTCTCTAGAAGCTACAATTTTTAAATCACTGGCAACCAGGACGCTTCGGTCGGCCTGCCACACAAGGGTTCCTAACTTTGACCCAACTTATCTCGGCTCCTTCAAAAGATTTAATAAGTCTGTCAACTGTTAAAATACAGTTCATAAAAATGTACACACTTCGTTAGTTAACAACTTTTTGATATCTTTCAAAAGAACCAAGTTTATCTTGGTTTCTGTAACAGATATCAAAAAGTGGTCAACTAATAAAATGTTTGTAATTTTATGATAAACATTTCATTAATTTACGCCATTTCAATATCTCTTACAAGGACCAAGATAATTTGGGTCAAAGTTAGAATACCCCCAACTCGCGGGGTCGATCTGCGTCCGTTCACTAGATAACGCATAACTCGGTTCAAAATAGGAAATTTTTTATGAAGTAGAAAATTAAATGTAGATCTTGAAAAGAGCTACAAAATGATATATAATTTGGTTATATTTGAACTCCGAGCTTTGGCCGTATAGCGCCGGCCCGCCTCCTCTATGGCTTCTGGCCAGTGGTCGGCGCTCATAGATAGCTGCCCTTCTATTAGAGGTTTAGATAAAATTACCTGAATCTGGCGCCTGTGAGCAGTTGAAATCCGCATTCACCGAGCTGCTCAGCACGGCCAGTGTGCCAGAAAAGACGAGAAAGGCGCCGAGCCGCCTACCCATTTTTATAGTGGTGTTGGGTCTGGAATTAATTAGTGAGATAATTAGGGGTAATTAAGGAAGATATCGAAAAGATAAATGAAACGATAGATTTGGACTTATCAATGATTAAAAAAGAAGATAAAATCGGAAATTCTTGACCAAACCAAACTACATAGAATGTTCTAGAACTTTTTTTCTCATAAAATCGAATTTCAGAATTTCCTGTAAATTGGTATGTTCTGACCTTAATATATTATATTACACCTTGCCCAAACCCATAAGAAAATTTTTTTCAAGAAATTTTTTTTTCCAAATTTGTTCATATTCTCCTCCTCCCCATCTAACCTCTTGACCATCTTCTTCTTTTAGCTAAAAAACGAGAGAGTGTGTAATTTGAAGAGACACCAGACACATTTCTCATACATTCCATTTCTGATTTTGACCTTCGTCGTTTCGGCCGAAAAAAAACCACCATCTATTTTGTGTTTACTTCACCTCAAAAATAGCTCATTTCTCTGATTCTCTCAATTTCCCATAATATTTCTTTGATTCCATGAAAAGACATGCTAATTGATTCCGAAAGTTTGAAGTGGGCGGGGCCTATTTTTCTATGTTTGGCGAAGAACACAACAACACGAGATTCAAGGAAATGATAAGATCAATTTGAGAGAAAAAAACGGATAGGAAATTTTCGGTGGTTGACGTCAGTTTGATTACCAGCCTAGAAAAACCAACCATACCAGGTTAATTGTGAGTCACACTCAGTAGCAGTAGTGTCTAGTAGACCCTAAAAACCTTGGGAAACCCCTTGGAAGTTGATAACAATGAAGAAAAAAGACTAAAAAAGAGTTTTCGAGTAGCCGGGAGTCGAACCCGGGTGTTGAGATTGGTGGGCAAAAGCGGAAGCCATTGGGCTACGCGCGCCACGAGCGATTAAAGGCGATTGTTCTATAACAAAGAGGAGGTGGGCGCAACTCGAAGGTGGAGGAGGGGAGGTGGGGGCCGCCGCTTGTGGCGCCACTCTGGGAGGCATGGCGCAATGGATAACAGTTCTGACTTTGAAAAAAGGGGTTTTTGGTTCGAACTCGAACGGGTCGAATTTTCTTCTGCTTTTTGTGCAGAGTCTAGGACATCCATTCTTTTTGCCATACATGCTTTATCATCCAACTTTTCAAAAATTTCCCTGTTATTTTCAGGAAACAAGGATATTGTAAAACCTAAAAAAGTGTCATCAAAGTATAAGAAACATAAAAAACCACATTTTACCATCAGAGGGTTCGAACCCCGGACCTCGAGAACCATCTGCAAAACGCTACTCAATAAGCCACGGGAGAACATATTGCCTTAGAAGCGGAAGGTAAAGATAACCTGAAGCCAAGTGGCCACTGATAAGGGGGGACCAAGGAATCAATCTTCAAAAGTCTCCAAATACACTCCAAATACATGACTTTTGTGGGGAAAAAAATTTAAGGAGAGATTCAAGAAAGGAAAAGAAAACAAATAAAATTCAAAGTTCAAGGTTTCTTGGGAATGACCACTAGTTTGTATGTGGCTAGAAGCGAATTTTATGTGTTAAAAAATGCAGAAAATAGAAAATTTTCCCAGAAAAATTGGACCCGAATTATAGACTCAAAATTTTATGGCTTTTTTGGAGTTTCTGTCGAAAATGTGTGGCCACTCTGCGGTCTCGAACCGGTTGGGGAACCGCCCGTTTTTTGGCATAGAGAGACAAAAAACTTTTGTTAGGTATCCCCCCAAAAAGTTCAGTTCAGGCAAATTATCCTCGGTGGCAAACCGGAACTGGATGGATGATGTTCCGGAAGTTTCTATACGAGGAAATGGATAGGTATTTTGTTAGGGGAAGGAAACATCGGAGAATCAAAAGAGGAATCTGTCTAGTGATAACCCCCGGATAACCTTCACCTACTTTTTACTTCCAAAAACATGCAAGAATTGATTTTTGAAGTCTAAAAGATACCCCCAATAACTTTGAAAAGCTTTATCTTAGTTCCGGTAAAAGTTATCAAAAAGTGGTCAACTGATAAAATGTTAAGCATAAAATTTTACACATTTTGTTAGTTAAAAACTTATTGGTATCTTTTACAGGAAGCGAGATATGAGGGCTCAAAATTGTGGCGACGCTCAAGAAGGAGGGCGCAGAGAACCAATTTATCTTTGCTTCCATGAATGATATCAAAAAGTGGCTAACTGATAAAATATTGCTTGTTTTATGATTAATATTTTCTTAACTGACTACATTTTGATATCTTTTACAAGAACTAAAATAATTTGGGCCAAAATTAATGTACCCTACAAAGCCGGCTGAAAGACCTCCCTAACTTTGATCCGCTTTATCTCGGTTCGTGTGAAAGTTATTAAAAAGAAGTAAACTGATGAAATACAGCTTTTTTTATGATGTACATTTTGCCTGTTGACCACTTTTTGATATCTTTTACAGAAAACCAGATAAACTAACTCAAAGTTGATTACTAGGAAGGCCACACTAGAGCGGCCTCTTTTCTGCATTTTATTCAAACCAATTTATCTCATTTTCTGTAAAAATTAACAAAAAATTGTAAACTAATAAAATGTTAAACATAAAGTTGTGAACATTTTGTTAATTGATTACTTTTTGATAACTTGTACAGGAAATGAAATAAATTGGGTCAAAACTAAAGGACCATTCAAGACCAACTGAAAGGCTCCTTAACTTTGAGCCTATTTATCTCAGCTCTTGTGAAAGATATGAATAAGTGACCAACTGATAAAATGTTTTTCAGTTTATGCTTAACACTTTATCAGTTAATTATTTTTTATATCTTTCACTGGAAATGAGATATAAGAGTTTGAAGTTAATAGCCGGAAAAAAAAACTTTTTTTTTCCAAATTTCAATTTTCAAAATTTTTTGACCAAAAAATTTTCTAAAAACTAATTAACTAACAATCAAAAAAAAGTGGGTCTGATACTATCTTTGATATAGTGACCTCTGACTCCCCCCCATCATTTTTTGACGGTCATCCCCCCGAGAAAAAAAGTGGGCGGAGCCTATTTGTGTGTAACAATAAGAGGAAACGTTAAATGACCAACTGAATGTCTAGTGCACTTTTAAACATAGATATCGGTTTTTTGTTGATGTCAGCGATTTTGTACTGTCACATGAAAACGGAAGTTTAGGTCTCAAGGGGAAGTGAATTTTTGAAATTTTTGAGTTTCCGCCCGATTTAGGAAAAGAGGGGAGATTCAAAATTCGGAAGTTTGGATATACTAATTTTTGTGAGTTAGATGTTTTCGAACATTTTTTTTGAAATTTTAAAAATTTTTTGAAATTTTGGAATTTCAACAATTCAAAAATTTGGAAAATTCAAAAATTCAAAAATTCAAAAATTCAAAAATTCAAAAGTTCAAAAATTCAAAAGTTCAAAAATTCAAAAGTTCAAAAATTCAAAAATTCAAAAATTCAAAAATTCAAAAATTCAAAAATTCAAAAATTCAAAAATTCAAAAATTCAAAAATTCAAAAATTCAAAAATTCAAAAATTCAAAAATTCAAAAATTCAAAAATTCAAAAATTCAAAAATTCAAAAATTCAAAAATTCAAAAATTCAAAAATTCAAAAATTCAAAAAATCAAAAATTCAAAAATTTGGAAAATTCAAGAAATGCAAAACTTCAAAAATTTGAAATTCTAAATTTTTAAGTTTTTGGAACCAAACGCTGGAATTTTCAGAGGAATTTATGTCAAAATTCGAAAAGTCAAAACAAGCAAAAACATCTAAAAACTGGGACAGTTCCAGCCAAATATATAGGCTGAAATTGGGCGCAATTTATTTTTTTTTTATATTTTCTCCAAGTGTAACATACTGTATTTGTATTACGATTTTCACATTTTTTGTAACATTCTTCGCCTGTTTTTCAGATTTTTTTCTTCTCTCTTGTTTTTCGAAATGTTTTTCTAAGCTTCTACAGTCAAAAAAAGTAGTAGTAGTAGTTGGTTCGGTTGATTGATAGTACGGGTCCATGTACTTGGTCATTTCTCTTCTTCTTCTTCTTTTTTTTTGATGATACATACTTCTAAATAGAAGGAGACGTGCGGTTTTTACACTATAAAAATGCGGGGTGGCATTGAAAAAAAAAGAAAACATTGCGGCGGTCAAAAGCTGTGTAGACAATATTTTATTTCATTGAAATGGTCACTTGGAACCTTGAAGCCTAGCGGCAGCGTGATTACTTGTCATTACGCTGCAAGCTTTCTTTGAGCGCATCTATCTCGATTTCTGTGAGAGTTATCAAGAAATTGTTAACTAATAAAATGTTTGTCATAATATTACCAATATTTCACTCGTTTACAATTTCTTGATAGCTTTCACAGGAACTGACAAGGGAAGGTTTTTCAGACAACGATTGAGAATTCGCCCAAAATTTGTACAAAGGTACTTTCGAACACGCTGAATCCGAATCCAAAAAAAGTTT